TTACCAACGAATAGTGGAATTGACCGTCACATTATCACGCCCCCACGGCTGAAAGGCGAGCATGTTTGGTGGGACGGGGATTCACTCCAGTGTACGCAATGTAATTACTATGGTAACATGTGTAAAAACAAAGAGAGAGAGGTGTAAGACATTATTTTACAAGTTATTGTAAGACTTATTTCAGGAATCGAAATTGCCAAAGAAAGTAGTTTATTAACCTCATTCTCAAAGTGCAAACGAGAGAAGTAATTGTTAAAGTTATATTCATCAGATTTCTAAACTCCATAAACCGAAAGTGTAGATGTTAAGATCTATACGATTAGAATACATTTCAGTCATCTACAGAGGTTGCCAATAAATACTCTTAAAATTTCTATTTTTATATATTCCACTAGATCTAAAGAAGAAGATAAGCCTTCTTAAGTTAGGATAACCCCTATTTCATGAATGGTTCGGGGGAACTCTGCAAAACGAGATAAGCTTTCTTAAGTTAGGATAACCCCTATTTCATGAATGGTTCGGGGAACTCTGCAAAACGTACAAGTATATAACATCAACACACTAAACACCACTTAAAACTTTCACAGTATGAGAACAATTTTCGCTTATGCACATCATTTCGACAAAAAAATATATAACTTTAAGTTAATTTCATGCTAAGGAACTATAAATAAGAGTACCTAGTATCATAATTTCATGAAGTATTGTACACATAGATAAACTACAGACACAAATACCAAGTTCCAATAATTAAGAATGTTCGATGCATTGTTTTAAAGTTACTTCAAACAAATTTAACAATTTAACAAATGACAAAAATAATATTGATACTTTTGTGTGCGTCCTACTCGAGCTTTATTATGGCTATGATTAGTCGGAAGTATATAAATAGTTTATTCTACACCTGATGGCAGCAGTGTCCAGAATCTTTAAGATATGGTACTTTCGAATTATTGCACTGAGATACACTCACATATCCAGTAACAACTTGACAAAAGGAAATACCATAAAAAAATTATTGTCCTTCCACGAGGCAAGCCACTGATTCAAAATACTTTCATAAGCTGTGATTATGACCTAAGTTATTCAAATTCGTACATACTTAAGTGAAAAAATTAACAGCTAATATGTTTCAATATTTATGTATTCTTCTCACCAGAGAAAGCAAAAAGAGATTTTATGCAAGCGCGCTGCTCTCATTGATGTTGGAACAAATTTTTGTAGTGGGAGTACTGAAAACCACTAAATAAAATCGAAACCCCTGTATATGATGGGAGCCACACATACGCAACACCCTGGTAGTTTCCGCACCTTTTAAAGCACTAGAATATGAATCGCCGAGTACACATGTACCAACATTCTGAATTCGCAGTCGTTTCTAAGGTGGTTATATACATCGCTCTAACGTTATGTAAATTTTACCAATCTTTTTTTTTTCGCCAACTGAACAGCCAATACTTTTATTAAATTTTAATATTTTGTTTCAAGAGATTTATGCAGTGAAAAAAAAATCAAATTATCTATAAATGAATGAGAAGAGGTTAAAATAGCAAGGAAATAATTAGAACTGTATAGTTAATAAAAAATTGGCTTCTTTCATGCAGAAAAAAATTACATAGGAATCACAGTTATACTATATATTTCAGTGGAGAGGTTAATAGATATTAAAATTTGATGAAAATCACAGATAACTTGTGTTCTGATATCCATTTGAGGACAAATAATGACAATTATCACATTTAGGATTGCAAATAAAGGGGTTCAAGAGGTG